ATCCTAGAGGCAATAGGGAGCCACTATAATGGATCAGGGAGCATGAAACAATCAGGCCTAAGATTTAGAAATATCAGTTTTGGAGCTATGTGTGATGGATTAGCAGCTAGGTGGCACAGCGGATAGAGTGCCAGGTCTAGAGTCAGGAAGACTCATCTTCCTGAGTTCAAATCTGGCCTCAGGCATTTACAAACTGTGTGACCCGGGGCAAGTCACTAAAACTGTTTGGCTCAGTTTCCACATCTATAAAATGAGTTAGAGAAGGAAATGGCAAACCACTCCAGTATCGTAGCCAAAAAAACCCCAAATGAGGATCACAAAGAGTCAAACACGACTAAAAAATGACTGAAACGGAAATGGGTGATGGATTAGAGTGGATGGAAGCTGCATGTAAGATGGTACATGATGATGGTATATAGTTAAGGAAAGTGTTTATCCCTTGACTATTAAGAATTTTTGAATTTCTTTTTAGAAAAAGGCTTTAAAATTATGTCATATTAGTTTCACATCATATTTGAATGGCAGTCTGATGTGGTAGAAAAAGTCTTGGATGTGGAGTCACAAGACCTGGGTTTAATTCTTTTTTTAAATTGTAATTTTTTTTTTATTGGAAAACAAATATACAACTTGGAATGGATTTGGGGCAAATTGTGCCACAAGCAGATTTTTTTTTAAAGTGGCTAAACAAAGTTTAAAAAGCAAGTAACAATAGAAGAAAATGTTTTCTGATACGGGACCAGTAGTACAAAAAAATAGTGTACAAGTACCTGGATAATACACCTGTTTTGCAATAGTGCAACTTTAAGTACATATTGTTGACTGTCCATAGTCCACGCAGAGTTACAACTCCACACTTCAACAACAACATGCTGACAGCTCCTAAAGAAAACTACTTCTTTAAAAAAAAGAAAGGCATAACCCAGATGTTCCCTCATTTGACCAACTCCATCTAAGTTCAGATGTGCAGAAGGGCTTAGATATATCCAGAGTAAGCCACATGCAACATATTTTACTTGATCAATTTTCGAAAATAAAGTTTCAGGACAATGACAGTAGATAAGAGGAAGAAAAACATGGAGAAATGAAGTCCTAATTACTACACATGCATATCCTTTTGACAGTAGGGGGAAAAACCTTTTATAGATAAGTTACAAAGAAAAGCAAATAAACAATTTCGTACAAGAAATTTAACATATCTTGTACAATGTCTTCACTTCGCTGTCATAATTTGTACAAACTCTTCATAGTTTACTTGATTATCACCATCAATATCTGTTTCCCTGATCATTTTATCAACCTCTTCATCTGTTAACTTCTCTCTGAGGTTTGTTATCACATGGCGAAGTTCTGCTGCACTAATATAACCATTGCTGTCCTAAGACAAATGCTAGCTATTATTAATATTTAAAAATTTAATTGAACCTTTAAAGAGTAATAATGCAAATGCAAGGAAGCATCTTTAGAAGTTTTGACAGTTTGTCTTTTGTTCTTGCCACATTCTGTTTGTCCCTTGCAAAAAAAAAAAAGTTCCTAAAAGTATAAAAAAGGTGTTGATGTGCATGCTGACGGTACTAGAAAGAAAAGGTGTTTGTGTACCTTGTCAAATACATGGAATGCTTTTCTAATTTCTTCTTCATTGTCTGTGTCTTTCATTTTTCTTGCCATCATAGTCAGAAATGCTGGAAAGTCAGTTGTGCCATTACCATCAGCATCTACTTCATTAATCATATCCTGTAATTCAGCTTCTGTGGTGTTTTGCCCTAGTGACCTCATTAGATTCCCAATTCCTCTGTTGTTACAGTACCATCTCCATCCTTGTCAATTGGTGAAAAGGCTTCTTTGAATTCTGAAATCTTCTCTTGTGTCAGCTGATCAGCCATGCTGGTGCCCAAGTTCCTATCAAACAATCTCCACATTTGGTGGCTGCACTCAGACGCCTGGATTTAATTCTTTCACCTCTTACTAGATGTGACCCTGAGCAATCTTTCTGGGTCTCAGTTTCCTCATCTGTAAAGTGAAAATATTAATAATACCTAGCATTTATATAGTCCTTTAAAGTTTGCAGAGTGTTTTACAAATATTATCTCATTTGATCTTCACAACAACTCTGGGAGATAGGTCTATAATCATTCCCATCTTAGAGTTGAGGAAACTGAGGCAGACAAAGTTTAAGTAACTTGCCCAGGGTCACACAGCTAGTAATTGTCTGATGCTGGATTTGAACTCAAAGTCTTCCCAACTTCAAGCCCAGCACCACATAACTGCTTCTAACAATAATATTAGCACCAGCCATCTTACAGTGTTGTTGTGAGGAAAACTTTGTAAATGGCAAAGTAACATATAAAGTATCATCTTTAATTATGGGTACTATTGTCTGAAAAGTTGATAGAATCTCAGATCAACTCACCTCTTTCCACCCGCCCAGGCTTGAGAGTTTTAGTTGTCTTGTTATAGTATGCCCTATTCTCATAATATGGCATGGTATGGCATGGAGGTACCCAGCACAGCACCAGCTTTGGTGCTGGTTGCAAGTTGATAAAGCTTTGAGTAAGAGCCTAGTGATGGAGCACATGTCTGTTGACTGAGGCCTGGTCAAACTAAGTTTGGAGAGGCACCTCACCAGGTTGCCCACAAGGCAATGAACTTTTTGGCTACAACAACTCTGAGTTGTTGTCTCCTGAGTTACAGAGGGGCTCTGATTTGTGGTGGCAGAAGGAGTTTCTAAATTAAGGAAATCATAGATTCTTGAAACACTAAAATATTGTTGTGTATTACAAAAGACTTTTTGGCACAACAGAAAGAATATAAATTGGTATTTACTAGAAGAATTGCAAGATTTTGAATTTCTTAGTATTCTGAATTGACATGCTCCACTTTTCAGTATATGATTCTTTGTCTTCCTGGTGCTGAGAGAAAAATAAGGAATTACAATACTGAAAATTATGGGGGGACTTTACCTTAAAATACTTCACTGCTGCTTTTTTATAACACTACTCTCTTTCTGGTTCACCTCCTATCTTTCTGACCACTATTCAGTCTCCTTTACTGGCTCATCATACATATCAAACCCCTTGGCCATGAGAGTTCCCCAAAGTTTTACTCTAGGTCCCCTTATCTTTTCCCTCTACCTTCTATCTCGTGGTAAACTCATCAGCTCCTATCTGTTTAATTATCATGTCTATGAGGATGACTCCTAGATCCATCCAAATATCCAGCCCCAGTCTCATCCCTGAACCTCAGTCTGGAATCACCAATTTCCTATTGGGCATTTGAAACCTAATGTCCCAAAGATATAAACTCAACATGTCCAAAACTGAACTCATTATCTTTCCCCTTAAACTTTCGCTTTTTTCAAACTTCCCAATTTCTGTTGAAGGCCCCACCATCTTTCCTATGTCCCAGGATTGTAACCTCAGTCTTATCCTTATTCTTCCCCACCCAAAATATCCATACCTATGCCAAATCTTGCCACTTCACAATATCTCTAATATATGATCCATTTCCTCCATTCCCCCAACTATCACCTTCATTCATGCTCTCATCACATCTTGCCTAGATTATTATCACAGCCTCTTGATTGATCTCCCTACCTCAAGTTTCTTGCCACTTCAGTCCATTCCACATACGGCTGCTGCCAAAGTGATTTTCCTTAAACACAATCTGACCAAGTGATTCTGTACTCAATCAACTCCAATGGCTTCCTGTTGCCTCCACAATCAAATATAAACTCTTCTGTTTAGCTTTTAAAGTCCTATGTAACTTGGCTCCAACATATCTTTCTAGCCTCACTGATCATTACTTTTCTTCGACTCTGCAATCCACCCAAACTGACCTTCTCTCGGCTATTCACATGGGACACTCCATTTTCTGTCTTCATGCTTTGTGTACTACATGTTAATTTCACTACATGGCGTGCCTGGAACGTACCCTCTCCTTACCCCATAGAATCCCTTTCTTCCTTTAAGATGCTGTTCAAGCACCATTTTGCTCATGAAGCCTGTACTGATTCCATGATCAAGAAAGTGCCTTCCCTCCCAAACTATCTTATATTTAACTACTTTGTTATTTTATTATATATTAAATATTTTAATATATATTTGTTTTATTAAATATTATTTTATATCTAATATATATTATATATTTTAATTTAGTCACTCTATAGTGACTAAACTTTACTGAACTTTACATTAGATTGTAAACTCCTTGTAAGCAGGGATTATGTCATTCTGTATATTTGCATCCCCAGTGCCTGGCACAGAATAGGTGCTTAATAAATATTTATTGATTAATTATAATTTAAAGTCAAATGGCCCTAAAGGAATGGATTATCTATAGCAGAGGTGTCAAACAAGGGCTGCAGACATGTGGCTTAAACCACTCCTGAAATATTTAACAAAACAAATACAAATACAGTAAAACATAGATAATACTAACATATGGTTTTCTAAGTCAATACATAGCATGCCGGGATCTTCATGTATGGTTTAGTGGCCTCTGTTTCTACTTGAGTTTGTACCACTGATCTACAGGGAATTCTGTAGTTTATGTTGGACTATGCCAATTTTGTTTTCAAGTTAACATAACATATTTTAGGGGGTATTCTACATTCTATCAGAAAAGTCTAATAAATTACCCTTATTTAGCCTTTTCACTTCAGACAGATCCAGTGACAGCTCTTTTTCTAGTACAATGGAAGTTTTGCCAGAAAAACATGGTTGGAGTTTGTGACTTGGACTAATGCCTCCTAGGAATTTTATGAAGAGCTCTTTATTCCACAAACAATATCAAATAGCTATAAAACTAGATAGCTTTAATCAGTATTCATATTTAGCTAGATTTTGTTATGGATGTTGAACAAAACTAGAAATAAGTATATACTTTGGATTTTCTACTAAGATATCACTAACATCCAAGGGATTATTATAGGAGATTTTAGAATTCAAAAGGATCAACAGCATATACAAGTTTCATTTTTAAATAATTAACTTTATTATGTGATGAATAGTGAAACAATATTCATATTGTCATGTTCATTCAACTCCAAGGCCTTTTGGGCCAAAGTTAAACTAGATACTCATATTATACATTACAGATATTTTCTGATTTTACATTCTACTTTCATTTCTGTAAAAATATTCAAGTTAAATTATTTCAGTGGCAGGTATTTTTAGTAACATTACAGTTTTACATTTTTTAGAACAAATTTCCATTGTTTAAATGGAAATACAAAGCACTATTATTCCCTTTTATGGATTTAATAGAGTATGGAATCTATTATGGCACATAAGCATTATAATTTTATTCTAAGAACTTCTTTCTCCACTAGTATTTAACGCTAAAATTAGTGTACTCAAGTTGAGAGATGGTCTTTTCATTGGAAAAGTCAGCCCGATCAATACGAGAACTGGGGCTCCCAATTTTGCTTAGCCAGGTTTTCCTGTGGATCAAAAGAAGAAGAAAAAGATAAGTCTTTTTCAGCATGTAAAGTCCATTTTAGTGGGCTGAAATGACATTACAATAAATATTAATAGGATTTTAAACAAAACATTTTCATAAGAAACCCTTTAAAATGTTACATTTCCTATATCATTCTAATAATAGGGTAGATACATATTATATCATTAAATCTGGATAAAATAAAGATAATGAAAACTTGAGTATGGCCAGTCCTTGATTATTTATTTGAGAACTTCCCATGGCAGTCTATTAATACCAAATTTTCTTTTTAGCAGTATTAATGTACTTAGAATCTCAGAATCTGAATTAGAAGAGATCTCAAAGTTATCCAGTCCAATTTGAATCTGAAAACAATTCCTTTTTCAATATACCCAGGTTGTCATCTAGCCTTTTTTGGGAAGATGTTTGTCTATCTCACTTTGGGACTCTAATTGTTGAGAAGTTTTTCTGTACATCAAGCAACTTCCACTCATTGCTTTTAGCTATGTCGTTGGGGGGCATGCAAAACAAGTCTAATCCTTTCCCCCCATGACAGCCCTTCAAATACTTGAAAATACTCATCATGCATAAACATCTCTGGCTCCTTTAACTTATTCCCATACAGCATGATATCAAAGTCCTGCATCATTCTTGTCGCCTTTCTCTGCACATTCTCCAGCTTATTAATATCCTTTCTATAATGTGGAACTAAGAATGGAATACAATATCCTAGACGTCATCTGACCAGGAAAGAGGATGGTGGGACTACAGGGTTATCTCTCCTTTTCATCTACTTGTAGTTATGTTAAGGAATTAAAATTAATTTAATGTTGGGCTAATGTATCAATTCTCAAATTTTTTTGTTCTCAGGACCTCCATAGAAGCTGAAAAATTATTGAAGGTCCCTCAAAGAGTTTTTGTTTATATATGTTACATCAGCTGACTCTATATACACTTATATAAATGTATTATAAATTTTACTGATATAAAGCATATATAATACACAATTTACAATAAAATATGCAATACTTCTTATTGTAAATTCCATGTAGTCAATTCATCCCCACACAATGGTTTTGTTGATTTCTGACAAACTTTTGTATCTATAACCAATCTATGGTTGCAATGTAACCATGATTTAACAAATGAAATTTCATTTTAATCCATTAACTTTTCTCAATGAATGTATTGCTATTAAATCTGCTCTGTGATTTACAATTCAACTATTTCTCACCGTCGTACAAATTACATTTATTAAACTGAAACCTCTTCCAGCTTTAGCACTCCTGACTACAATAGGGATAATTATCTTTTTAGCTTCTTGAATAGTTGCAAGGATTGGAACATTGTTTGATACTATATCATTACCTAAAAAGAAATCTCCAAAATCGTTCAAATCAATTTCATGTTTTAAAATTCCACTTAAATGATACTGTTTTTTAAAACCAGCTAACCAAGGTGAAGTTAGTTCTTCCTAAGGCCAAGTAGATGGTTCTAATAAATCAAAATAATTAATTGTTTCTGTCCAATAAAGGACCTAAGTTCACGTGTTTAATTATATTTTCTAGTAACATTCCTAGGAAAAGCATTACATTTATTATTTTTATTAAATTAAATGTCTTCAAACTTATTAGTCTTGATCAAATCTTCAACATGAGAGTCCTGCTTCCAGTATGAATCTTTAACTTTTCCAAAGATCTTACATAATAACTGAAAATAGACAATAATGTATTGATTAATTTTTGTTTTCTGAATGTTAATTAATCTTGATTGTGATGAAGTAATGAAAATTCTTCAAGAATATAAATCATTAAAACAAGGTCTTGCAGGAAATTAATGTTGGCTAATCTCCTTACCAAACTAGAATAAGAAGAATGAGAAAAAGGCATATATGACATAGGATATGTGCGCCATACAGGAGTAACAGTACATAAACTATATGCTGTTTGTTTTGGTCTCAGTACTTCACCAATTTTAATAATTTCAAGTTCAAGTTCTTTAGCTACAGTTTCTAGCTTGATTTTTATTTGATTGGTGATAAGGAGAATATATTTTATCCAGAAATATTTTAAAGTGAGTAACTTGTTTTATTTCAGATATTAAATTGTCAAGCGATAATTTTAATCAATAATTTAAACAATGCCAAATGATGATTTTAGGAAAATGTTTTACAACTTCATAGCTATTCCAGACTTTCTTATCAGTTTTATTAGCACCAGCAGAACAAAAATGCAATTAAATCAGCTTTCAGATATTTATTATTAAAGACATCATCATTGAAAATAGACAATAATGTATTGAAAGTATATTTTCTTATGATTGACACCAATTCTTTTCACTTTGAAAAATAGATTTTTTTAACTGCTACCTTTTGTTTTTAACATCATCTAGATTTCCTCCTGTACTGCTTTTCCCAGGGAGTCATGCCTTATAATAAAGAATTAAAATAAAAACAATCCAGCAAAACCAATCAACACATAGAAGAAACTGAATTTTATTTGCAATTTTCCACACCCATAAAACTCCCACCTCTGAAAAGGGGTGGGGAGAGGTGTTTTCTCATACATCCTGGGGGGGGGGCAAACTTGCTCTTTATTTTTGCAACACTAATTTTCAATTGGTTTTGTGATTGTTTTTCTTTCCTCTTACATTGTTGCAGACATTGTGTATATTGTTTTCCTGGCTCTGCTTACTTCACTTTGCATTAGTTCATCAGTTTTTCCATGTTTCTCTTTATTTAACATGTTCAATTTTTTTTCTTTTTAACTAAATTTTGATTGATGTCTTCTGCTTTTAACATCATCACAGTTATCCCCATAGTTATCCTTCCCCTGTCTCTCCCAGAGAGCCATCCCATATAACAAATTGTATTTTTAAAAGACAAAAAAAAAAAAGGGAAAAAAATTAGAATTGATCAACTCATTGAGAAAGTCAGAAAACATGTGCAACGTGTAACACCTGTGGACCTCCCACCTCTACAAAGGGACAGGTTGGGGATACCTTCTCATACCTCTTCATTTGTGTCATGCTTGATTATAATTTATAATATATATTATAATATATAATATAATATATAATAATATATATTTATAATTTTGTTATTCTTTATAATTCTTTTAAAGCAACAAATAACATTACTGATGTAGGAGCTGATTGAACTTCATACTAACTATGTTTAACAACTATCTTAGAGAATTCCTTAAGATTTAATAATAGGCTCTCATGAGCCAGTATGAGCTGGCTCCAATTTATCATTAGTTATCTCTATCAGATATTTACCATATTAAAAATTAAACATCTTAGTATTAATATGAAAACAGTTTTGATCTCCTAGACCCTCTGAAAGGATCTCACAGACTACAAGGGGTACTTAGAATTCACTTTGAGAACCAATGGGCTAAAAGAAAACACAGATAAATTTTGCTACAAAATCAGCACAAATGGTTATGTGATCTTTTTGATCTGGATGTTTCTAGTTGATGAAAATCACATCTTATCCAGTCCAGCACAACCCAAAGGACACTTGACGATGTTTCCCCATAAGTCTGATACGGGAAGCTCCACCCACCCAACATCTTTACTTTCTCCTGCCAGCACAAGGGTAACTGCATAGCAGTTGGATTGGCCACTTGTCATTCTTTGTCTTCAGCACAGCTTTCCCAGTCACACATTTTGGTGATGACACCTTTTATTTCTGATCTCCTAATTTATTCAGTGGTTGCAAACTATAGCCTGCTCACTCACACATCCAATTTACGCCTCCCCACTGTTCACAGTATGTTAATAATTTTCAAATTTATTTTTGGAATTTATTGTATGGCTTGCAGCCATACAATAATATTGGTAGGCTATTACATAAAAATATGATCCTTTATTTCCAGGAGAATACTGAAGTTATTAAAAGAACTCTGTGGGGCAGCTAGGTGGTGCAGTGGATAGAGTGCCAGGCTTGAAGCCAAGAAGACCTCAATTCACATCCAGCCTCAGACACCTACTAGCAGTGACCCAGGGCAAGTCACTTAACCCTGTTTGCCTCAGTTTCCTCATCTGTAAAATGAACTATAGAAGGAAATGGCAAACCATTTCAATATCTTTGCCAAGAAAACCCCAAATGGTGTTACAAAGAATTGGTCATGACTGAAAACACAACAAAAAGAACTTTGTAATTTTCTGAAGGCAATCCTGGAAATATCCCAGGACTCTGAACCCAACACCTTTAAGAATAGCAGTATTCCCCAATCCATCAGAAATACTTCCAGCCCAGCCCCAGTAGCCATCATGGTAGAGAGAGCCAATCAAACTACCACCACCGCCGCCTTGCTCACCATCTTCCCCCAGATCTTAATTGAAACAGCTCAACTAAGTCTTGGGAAGAACATCTTGGGTACCCCTGTGAAGTGGCATTATAGCCGTGTCGATTGAAGATCCAGAAGAGAAAGTTCTTGTCACCAAAGTCCTTGGCAAAAGGGCTTACCATCAGAAATGGCTATGTTTTTATCAGTGGAAACGACACAAAAAAGAGGCATTACCATCTACTATGCTACTGTATCCAAAGGACCAGGGGACCTTTTTTATCTGATTTGCAGCAGAAATCTCCCATATGTATTTTCTCACTTATTAGAATACAAGCTCCCTGAGAGCAGCAATTGTTTTACTTTTCTTTTTGTATCCCTAATGCTTAGCATAGTGCTTTGCACACAGTTAAGTGCTTAATAAATGTTTCCTTCATTCATTGATACATTGATTCATTTGATCCAGTCCAATTTCTTCTTCATATATAATTCTGGGCCCAACTTTTCTATTTATATTGTCTGTCCTAGATACATTTGTCCACACTGATGACATTCTAACGTCAGAATCTGAGCAAAAGACCCTGCCTGCCCCTTTAAAAAAGCATTTATTTATGTATGTATGTATGTATGTATGTATTTATTTATTTACTGATTTGGTCTTTCCTTGTAGGTGGTCAAAGTCTTTTGTGGGCTTACAAATCTCTTCCAG